AATCCGGTCGCCGCGCGCTTTAGCCAATCGCGACGCGGGGCTACGAGTATGTAAATTGACTGTACAGAACACCCTCCCCCACCGACTAGCCTGCTTTCCAGTTCTGTTCTCCTGTGCAGGGCAACAAAGAAGATCCAGCCAATCAGCTGGGACTCAGGAGGCAGATAATAGATGGGGGCAGAGCCAGTCAGAGGTGGTATTTGCCGGTTCTCCAAACTACTCAAAATTTCCACTACCGGTTCTCCAAAACTGGTCAGAACCTGCTGAATACCACCTCTGGTCCCTCCTCAAAAAGCCATTTCTGAATCCAGCAATGTTAAATAATATTTCACCTGAAACTCCAGAAGGAGTTGGTTTATCTGGATTTTTTTTTCATTTCACTAATTTGATAATATCATTGATTGATTGATTGTGTGTGTGTATGTGTGTGAGAGAGAGAGAGAGAGAGAGTCCTTGATGAAGAACCAAGCTTAGAGAGCACCAAGGACATCTCATTTTAATTCTGAACTATAAATATATATATATATATATATATTACTACCAGTTCTGTGGGTGTGTCTTGGTGGGCGTGGCTTAGTGGGCGAGACAGGGGAAGGATACCGTAAAATCTCCATTCCCTCCTCATTCCTGGGGGAAGGATACTGCAAAATCCTATTCCATCCCCACCCCACTAACCTGCTTTCCAGCTCTGTTCTCCTGTGCAGGGCAACAAAAGAAGACCCAGCCAATCAGCTGGGACTCGGGAGGCAGAGAATAGATGGGGGCGGGGCCAGTCAGAGGTGGTATTTGCTGGTTCTCTGAACTACTCAAAATTTCCGCTACTGGTTCTCCAGAACTGGTCAGAACCTGCTGAATGCCATCTCTGAATGGAACCAACTGAGGTTGGGGCTGTGACTGGATTGGACCATGTGATGGACATGTGGACTGGGAAACAAACTTTGACTTTTAATTTGGGTGGTAAAACCACAGGATCTTTAGAGTCGGGTTTTCACCAGATGTACCAATATGAGGTGCCTAATAAATCTGTACTTTGAGGAACACCTAGGCCTCAGGGGTCTGATTGCATTGGGTCTGTTACTTGGAAACCTGACAAACTCTTTTTACAGATCTTTTAGAAATTATGATAAAAATTATCTGACAGAGTAAAATGCAGCCCTTCTAATGAAAAGAGTAAAACTGACCAGATTTGTAGTAATCCATATGTCCTTAATATTAGGTCTTCTTTTATCAGACTGATAAAGGGGAATGTAAATGAGGGATGACATGGGTGCATAAAGCTGGAACATTTCCATTAAACCACTGAGGGGATTCATCTGGAGCTTTGGAAGAGGAACTATTATATGAAATACAGCTCTATCACTTTTCATCATCCAACACCAAGGAAACAACCTGTACCTTTGAATGCTGTCTAAATTTGAGGAGGGTGAACTAACTAAAATTAAATTGTGACAAGATGGAGGTGCTGTTGGAACTGGATCTGGGGATTGAGGTTCAGCCTGTTTTGGAAGAGCAGGCAAGATTATATATTGAGAATGTTGCTCGCAGGAAACCCTCAACTATCACTGAATAGACAGGGTGAGGCTGTGATACAGAATATATTTGCACAGTTACGCTTAGTGCCTCACTTTCAACCCTTTCTAAATTGAGATTAGTTGATAATAATCTATACCGGGGGTATCAAGCTTGATTTCATTGAGGGCCGCATCAGGGTTGTGTTTGACCTCAGGGGGACAGGATGGGTGTGGTCAGGATGGACATCACTTGTGTCAAGGGGGCACCTGTGGTGGCCCAAGAGCTCTGCCAGCAACAGCAGGCTCCTGAGCTCCGTTTTTGACTGTGACAGTCTGCTGCAACTCTCTGGCAGCAGAAAGGGAGCTTGGGACCTATTTTTTTCTCATAAAGGCACCATGGGCCCATCCTTTGCTTTTTCCACGGCAGCCCCATGGGACAGATCTAAACACCCCATGGGCGGGATCTGGCCCTCAGGCTTTGAGTTTGACACCCCGATCTATACTGTGATTATATCCCATCCTGACTACATATTCTATGTGATCTATTCTTGGAAAGCGTAACGAAGACAAAAATGCAGAAGGTAAGCTGCTAAATAAAAGCTAGTTTGATGTGGTTGGTAAGGCACCAGCCAGAAACCAAGACAAGATGGGGTCTAGTTCTGCCTTAGGCACAAAAACAGCTGGGTGACCTTGGACCAGTGACTTCCAACCCTAGGAAGAAGCAAGACACTTCGTTCAAGAAAACTTCAGGGACTCCTCTGCACAGTTACAGGAGCCAGCCCAGTAGTTTTACTGACTATTGACTTGAAGGCCTCTGCTTTCCTGAGTTTGCTAATTGGTATACATAGGATACAAAGATCATATGCTGACTAAAAGAATCTGCACTGGTTGCCAGGCTGAGTTCAAAGTGGGGAAACTAATTATTACAGCAGGGAATGGAGCTATAGAAGATTTCAGTTCTAATCACCATTTTATTATTTTAATAAGCTTTAATGTGATATATTGTATTGCTTGATTCTGGGTTTTTTTCCCTTTTCCTTTGTATATTGCCCAGAATCACATGTCCTGAGTAAGCTATTCATATAAATTCTTTCTTTCTTTCTTTCTTTCTTTCTTTCTTTCTTTCTTTCTTTCTTTCTTTCTTTCTTTCTTTCTTTCTGTCTTTCCTTCCTTCCTTCCTTCCTTCCTTCCCTCCCTCCCTCCCTCCCCCCTCTCTTTTCATCTATCTATGTATCTCTATCTATTTACCTACCTACCTCTATGTATCATCTATCTATCTATCTATCTATCTATCTATCTATCTATCTATCTATCTATCTATCTATCTATCACCTATCAATTTATCTATCATCTGTCTATCTATCTATCTATCTATCTATCTATCTATCATCTATCTATCTATCTATCTATCTATCTATCTATCTATCTATCTATCATCTATCTATTATCTATCTATCTATCTATCTATCTATCTATCTATCTATCTATCTATCTATCTATTTATCTCTTTTTAATTGTGATTCTTTTGGTCATACAGATGTATAGGAAGGCTCATTTTGATCCTGCACTCTTTTTCAGCATTTAACATTTCACAGTATACTTTATATTTTTAATCTTGTCTAAGGGGGTGTAAATAGAGCAATAACAAATGTCTGCCTCTGCTGAAAGAGTAGAAATGATCATTGACTCATTAAAGTGAGTAGCCAGACTTGGCTCCTTAATGTCCTAGTTCAGCCCTCTATCACCTGCTACAACTTCTCTCCGGGTTAAAAGAAAATTTCATTTCGGAAAAGAGACAGCAGTAGAAGACAGTGCTTAGGAAACATCTTTTGGGCCTTAGGATGAGACTATTATTCTCATCGAAAATGATATATGCCCGTGATGGTGAACCTATAGCACATGTACCAGAAGTGGCATACACAGCCATTTCTCTGGGCATGCCAGCCGTTGCGCACGCCAGGTAGCTGGTCTTCGCGCATGTGGCAGTGCGGGAAATTGGAAGAGCAGCTTCCAGTGCACACATGGGCGCCAGCCACCTGGTCTTCCAGTTTCTAACACGAATCATGTGCGAAGACCAGCTGGCTGGCACGTACATGCGTGTTAGAATCTAGCCAGCCAGCTGGTCTACATGCACACATGCGTGTTAGAAGCCAGAAGACCCAGGTGGCCAGCATGCATGCACACACCAGGAGCTGTTCTTTTGGTTTCTGGCAAGCGCACGCGACTGTTTCAGTACTCAGTGCCGAAAAGGTTAATCACCACTGATATCCAGCAAAGCTATTTCTGCAGGGTCCGATCTATGTTCATCACTAGGATCAGAGGTTTACTCTTCCGAGCTTTCAGACTTGTGCTGGAGCCCATTCCTGGGGAACTTCTTGCTACTGCAATAAGTGCTTTCAGCTATTCTTCGAGTCGCTTTTTATGTGGTGCCTTCCTATTGGTTAATTGGGGTTGATGGCTGTCAGTTGGCTGTTGTTTCCTTTTCTGCCAAGCCCTCAGATCCTAAGTACCTTCATTTAACATTTTTTATTGAGGTATAAAATAAAATAAGGTACAAAATGCGAAAGTAAATAGGAAAGCAATGGGTGGAGGGAGAAAGGGAAGGACCAAAAGTGAGGAAGGACCAAAAGAAAAAGAAATGTTGACTTCCGACTCTCTCTATTGCAGTAAAATAAGGCATTAACATCAAACCACAACTTTTTGTTTTCCCATAAGAATAACAACCAGCCATTTCTGTAGGGATCTATCAATCTGGTCGGTAAAACCCAAAATCAAAGTTTCATTCTTTTCCACTTCAAGCACAAAGTTCGGAAGTTCACAAAGTTCGTGCGGAAACAAAAGTACTTATAATACTTTGCTTTAATCAAAATAGTCAATTTTGCCATTTCAGCCAACTCCATCAGCTTCTGCAGCCCTTCATCCATGGTAGGAATCGAAGTGTCCTTCCATTTTTGTGCGTATAGTAATCTTGCTGCCGTCAACATATACAGTGTTAAAGTTCCAATTTTTTACTCCAAGTCTTTAGGCCCAAAATGAAAGTTTTTGGTTTTATTTTTTATCTTCATTTTCAAAATTTTCTGTATTGGAATATGAATCATGCTTCAATTTTTTTTTTTGGTTTATCACATGTCCACCATAAATGATAGAAAGTCCCTTCTTTACTTTTACACTTCTAAATAAACTGGTGGTAAATCAGCATTCCTGTTGACTGACAAGGGCAGCACAAGGAAACAGCAGCCAATTGCCAGCCATCAACATCAGTCAACCAATAGGAAGGCACCAGATTGGATCTTGCAACATTATCCTTGGACACGTATATTTGCCTTCATTCATAAAATTATTTCCGGCTGAAATGCACCCAAAATTAAAACCGATTCCATCAAATGTCAGAGATGCATGTCTGAATGTACACATTCAAGCATTGAGGCAAATTAACACTCGGTAAGAGAACAACCCTGCTATGTACAAGAGATTAATTATAAAACTTACTGTATATTTGCAACTGTCCTCGGAAGACATTCCTTCCCCGAGAGTTCTCAGCTTTGCATTCATATGTCCCTGCATCTTCAAGCTGCACGTTTGGGATTTCGAGCACTGCTTGGGACTTCCGCAGGCGAGCTTTGCTCGGATTGGGGCCATTAACTTTCCTCCATGAGATTATTGGAACTGGGCTGAAATATTTAGCGAAGGCATGATTAGCTCTTCCTTGCCGTTAAGAATATATATCCCGTTACCTGCTAATTTAAGCACTTAATCGTCTAAGCAGCAATAAAGTGTAATCACAATTAAGGCTCGTGAACTGCTTGATCTATTTCACTTTCAGCTGAGAACATTTAACTAGTGCTACCGCTGTCCTGGACACTTCCTGCTTTCCGAAAATTAAATCTATCCCAGGGATGAACTCATATAACAGGAAGGAAGATATTGTGTCAAAGAGAAAGCACGACTGGACAGAAGTCAAAACTGATGCAAACTTTTCCACTGGATAGCTAGATTGATTTCTCATTAGGGATTAAGGATGAATGGTTCTGGAAGATGCCAGACAGACTGAAATGTTGAGTTGGGTCAGTCAGCTGCAGAACAGGAGCTACCTTTCCATAGAAGAGAATCGCTACAACAGATGTTTTGTGAGCATTTGTTTGCTCTGTGAAAATTACTAAGAGTGAGTAACATTGGTGTTCTCTGAGCTTGCTTGTTTTCTTGCAGATGTTTCATTACCCTAACTAGGTAACATCCTCAGTGCTAGTAAGAAATGCTGTTTGCTGTCTATGTTCTGGTGACATGTCTCTTTACCAGTAATCAGCACCCAGATCAGCATAGATTAACTCCAAGGTTAACTTCAGACCAACAATCAAGTAGACGATACCCAAGTAAACAATACTGATGCAAAAGAGCCATCTGTAAACAGCCCAACCAAAGAATCTCTAGGTCTTCCTCCACCCATATGGAGAGGGAAGTCACCAGAATATAAACTGACAGTAAACATCACTCCTTACTATCACTGATGATGTTACTTCGTTTGTTAAGGAAATGTCTGCAAGGAAACAAGCAAGCTCAGAGAGCACCAAGGACTCCCCATTTCAACCCTGAGCTACAAATATTCTCCTTTAACTTACTAAGAAATTGGAAGAGAAAAGCTCCTTCCAGCCACAGGGCTTCCATCCTCCTTCATTCCACCTTTTTGCAACTCCTGCTATTTAGTAACAAAATTCTCCCTCCCTCATGCTTTCAACCTTAGCAATGGGATTGAAATAGATGCACCCATTCAGACCTCCACTCTTTCCTCCCTTCTCTGCACAAACTACTGTAGAAACATGGACCTAACTTGTACCCCAGTCAGTTTCAAACTGCTGAGAGCCCTTTTATGAGTGAAAAAGGGGATGGTTTTCAAATCACTAGCATTAAAAAAAGGGGGAACACCAGCCATGTGGAGCTGGAAACATTGCCTTAAACTGAACTAATGCCTGCAAAATGATTTCACAAATTTTATCCACTCTGTCACTTTCTCACTAGAGCAGGGGTGTCAAACTTAATAGCATTGAGGGCCACATCAGGGTTGTGTTTGACCTTGTTGGACCCGGGTGGGCATGGCCAGCTCAACGTCACTCTAGTTTGGGGTGCCTGTGGTGGCCCGGGCACCTCTGCCAGTGAAAACAGGCTCTCAAGCTCTGTTTTTGACTGTGACAGACTCCTGCAGCCCGAGGGCCACCCGTGACCCTCCCTAGCTCCATTTTCGCTGGTGGAGGCTCCACGGGCCGGTCCTTCACTGTTTCCAGGTCGGCCCCACAGGCTAGATCTAAGTACCCCGCCTGGATGGATTTGGCCCGTGGGCCTTGAGTTTGACACCCCTGCACTAGAGTGTAAAGGAGATGGAAGATTTATTGCTAGGCTTGACAAGGGGTAGCTTCTGTCCCATCTGTTGTGTTAGTTGCATTTTGTCACTTTGTGAGTTGGTTATTTGTACATCCATTTGTTGTTGATGCTGCAACAACACTGCAGTAAGGTGTGGCCTGAGGATCCAAGGCCATTTCCTGTAACAAACATGAGAGCTTCAGCCTATCTTAAAACATAATACAAGATTGAAAAATAAGATTGCTAGATTGACGATAGTGCCATTAGATAGACCAGACCAAGGAATCAACTCCACGGAAAAGCTAAAATTAATTTTATTTGAGATTGTCTATGATGAAAGAATTTTGCAAGTCTGATCGTACTGTAGCATCTCTGCTTTCCTGTACTTCAGTAAATTAGGGAGACATTTCTCTGAGCTGCTTATGAATACTAGCTGTCTATTGCACACTTAGAATATATTTTATCCCTCATTGCCCTAATAATGGATCTTCCATATCTCAAGGCTTATCTTCCTTACTGTCTATACACTGTCTCTTTAATTGTTCATTTCATTTGGAACAAAAGAGGCGTAAACCCCTTTTCCACACCGTGTCAAGAAGAGGGTCTATTTCTAAGGGGACGCCCAACACAAGTACTTATTGATTTTAAATTGAGCAAGTTATTTATTGGTTGACTTTTTGTACTTAGATTTTTGTTCAGACTATTCTTATATCAGAAAAAGTTTGGCTTAACTGGCTAGGTGCTTCTCAGTAATTGGCATGCATATAAGGTAATTTAACAAATAATAGTAACTTTTTTTAAAAAACAAACAAACAACTATGGTAACAGATGGGACATCAAACCTGGTGGAAGAAATATAAGCCTGGCAGTGTGGTGGAATATAGTGTGGACTTGCAGAGGGGAGGGTTTCCCAGAAGGGAAAGAGTCTGTGGAGCTTGGAATATCTGGAAGGCAGGAAGAGGGCAAGGACAGACTTTTCCTAGCAATTCACAGAGTATATAGTTATACAGATAATTGCCTTACTCTGGCAAGATTCTGTAGATCAGGGATGTCAAACTAAAGGCCTGGGGGCCAGATCTGGCCCACGGGGTGCTTAGATTTGGCCTGTGGGGCCTCCATGGAAATAGCGAAGGACCAGCCCACAGTGCCTCTGCCAGGGAAAATGGAGCTCGGGAGGGCAGAAGATGCTCGGGCCACCGTGACATGAGTTATGTTGAGCTGGCCAGACCCCGCCCCTGGCCATGCCCACTCCAAGGTTAAACACAACCCTGATGCGGACCTCAATGAAATCGAGTTTGACATCCCTGCTGTAGATGAATAATAATAATAATAATAAACTACCAGAGGTAGCTCCATGTCTTCTTTTTGGTTGTTTGAGTCTGACATTAGGCAATGCTGGAGAAAGGAAGAGCAGGCCACAAAACTTAGGGAAGGAGAATGGCTAGGCAAAATGGAGGTTATATACACAATTGGATCTAAAATGAGATTAGCTTCAGAAACTGAAGGGATAGAGACATCCCAGGGCCTCAAACGGGCCTCTGCATTCTGAAATGAGCCCCCCAAAAACCTTGGACAGGACCTTGAAAATCTGTACATTTACAAAATTTCCATCTGTCAATTGCAAAGGGCCACAATGCTTGGCTCCATATATATACTATATTGATAATTTACAGTGTCCTAAATTCTTGGGAGGAACTCAAGTACATGAAGGCCAACACCAGCTAAAGAACTAGTAAATGTGATTTCATGCTGTTGTAAAAATTATAAAAGGGGTTGAGGATGAACCCATTGTCTCCCAAACAGTGAAGACATTTATAGACATTTACTGAAGAGAAGGTGCTTTTTGCTCATTGCTGTTCCCTGTCCTAATTTCCTTTTCCTTCTTCCTAAACTACTTTTTAGAAAGTAGGATAGAATATTGTCATTCTTTCTTTCTAGAACAATTTTAATAAGTAGACAAAGGATTGTAGAAACCTTAGTTACAGATGTCATGCCACCTACATTTGCTGAGTTGGAGGCTTTAAAAATATTTTTAAAAAGTTTTTTTTTTTCAAAGTTAAGATTATACTCCATGTGGAGTAAAAGTGCAGATTAGAAAAGGCAGTGATGAAAGGTCCACTTCTTTTGTATGTCTATCCTGTGATCCAAAGCACATATGGAAACACATATAGTATGTTGGTTGTATTGTGACAGTACAACACCACTTTTTCTCCAAAGACTCTGATTATACAGGTATCTCTGCCTGATATATAAGTTTTATCTGCCTGTATTCCATCATTAAAGACTGTCAGCCTTGTGTCCAGGGAAGAACATCCAAAAGTAGTAACTTTATCTTTATTGGTTATATCCACAGAATCTTTCAAGTCTGGAAGTACAAGTAGTCCTTGACTTAAAAAAATACAATTGAGCCCAAAATTTCAGTTGCTAAGTGAAACAAGTGAGTGTTGCCCCATTTTATGACCTTTCTTGCCACAGTTGTTAAGTCAATCACTGCAATTGTTAAATTAGTAATATGGTTGTTAAGTGAATTTGGCTTTCCCATCGACTTTGTTCTCAGAAGATCACAAAAGGTGATCACATGCAACCGTCATAAATATGAGTATTTTGCCAAGCAACTGAATTTTGATCACATGACCATGGGGATGTTGTAGTGGTTGTAAGTGGGAAAAATGGTTATGTCACTTTTTTTCAGTGATGTTGTAACTCTGAACTGTTGTAAGGTAACATCTCTCCCCTTTCACCATTACAATTTTTGAGTTCTTTGCCACAG